TATTTTAAACAAAATTAAATTAGCTATTACGGAGACCTTTTCAGTATGTAAAAAAAAACCGAATTGTAAATTCAGGAAAAATTTAGCTTTCAACAATTGACGTTCGCTTCAATCAACTCCATTGCTTCAAATCTTTCTGGTAGACCATTTAAGGGAAATAATTTTGATACTATAAGTCGATGTTCATTATAAAAATTGTTGCATTAAAATTGTTTTGTGATATGAACCCCTTCCGAAAAGTGGACTATAATTTAAAAAATAATTTTGAATTATAATATTATATCCTTTGTTTTTTATTTCATTTTTAAATTAATTTCATGAATGTACATCAATCAGTCTGTAGACTTTATAATTAAATAAATAAATAAATATATTTCAAAACAAATAAAAATATGAATTATCTTCTTCATCGTCAACAAAATCCAAATAGTACGATTTCAATTCCGGATGGTTTAACAGATCTCATGGGTGACATATGCCGCGAAGTATTAAGAGTACAACCGTCTCCGAATGAGATTTATTCTTTTATAGCTACTTATTTAGAAGCTTTATTGGAAACTCGTGATAAAATTCAAAGTAAGTAATTGTTTATTTTCCCCTCAAAATATTCAAGGGGTGTACTAAAATTTTTAAGTCCCTAAAATGCGTGTTTGTTTATAATCTTTTGAAATTTTAAGTAACCAGAAAAACATTATGCGATATAATAAGCAGAGCTACGAATATTGCCAATATACTTCAAGTTGATGGTTTCACTTTAAAACAAGCCAATGAAACTGTTAATATAATGCATAAAAACTTTTTTGAGATCCTTGATAGTAAACGAAAAGAAAAGTTCGACGAGAGACATTCAAAAGAAATAAGGGAAGCTGAAATACTTTCCGAATTGGTGAAAACATGTGAACTAACAAAGTATCAAGTATTGTTCCTTAAACCGGTAATACGGGAAGCATTTAAAAATTTTATTGAAGAATATTTCCGAGCTCTAAAAGTAAGTTAAGCCACAATATGAAATATTAAATTAATATACTATTTAGATATGCATATATAACACAGGGCATGGCGTTAAGTTTGGATGTGGTTAGTCCAATATCAAAATTTACATTAGAAAAATATTTTGCGGATGCTCCGTCCCTAGAAATCATGACGGAAGCTGCAGTTTCAATTCAAGTAATGCACATAAAACTATGAAATTGTATTAACTATTTTATTCAAATTTATTTTTAAATATTTAACAGGCAGCATTTCGAGGCTATAGAACACGAAAGATTTTAAGAAAATCTACCATAAAATATATGCCAGGGACTATACGATTAAATGATTTGCCGTATCAAAAATTTGAAAAAGTAAGTACATATGATTATAACTACATACAGTAATTCTTTTGCTTATTCAATTACAAAATTTATAAATAAACTTTAAAGTTACTACAAAATTTTACACCAGCTGAGTACAAGAAAGCATATGAAGCTGCAATTGTTATACAGGTTTGAAATTGTTTTAAAGTTTTGAGTAATCAATTAAGAAATCGACATACTTACTTACATATGCATTTTTAATATTTAATTTAGAGAGCTTACAGGAAGAGTATGGGCACAAATCACTTAAAAAGAAGTTTGGTAAAATATATTTACAATATCCATAATATTTGCTTATCATTAATTTAAAAAAACGAGAAGAACCAGTACATTTTTCTAGTATAAAAGAGAACAAATTCTAAGAATCACACCCTTGATTTAATAATAAATTAATTAAAACTTGAAATTTGCACTGAAACTGATTCATTTTGTTAATTGAAAAAAATTACAAATGATGTACAAATTTTTTGTTGATAGGCTTAATTTTGATTTAATATTTAGAATAAGCTGTGCGAAATACCTGTTATAGAGATACTTGCCTAATTAGATCAAACAATTTTAATTTATTATCTGCAGAACGTTATTATGGTTTTATTTCATAGAGAGAATACGAGTACAAAAATGAAGAGGTAGCAGAAAAGAGTGAACACGAAAAGGGGTTTGAAAAATTTGGAAAAGTTAATAAAATTGAGGAAAATGCTGCTACGATAATTCAAGTAAGTTTCGAGAAAAAATAAATATGTATATGTGTAGAATTGCAAAATATGTATATAATGTATATGTTTAAAAACTTCCAGAAAGCTTTCAGAAATTATAAGAAAAAACAAGAGTCTTTGCAAAGAGAAGGAAACATTTGATAGATGCACAAAATATATGTATGTGTGAAAGCAACTACCTAATAAAACAAAATGCAAGTGAAAATTTGCTAATTAGTTTCATTATTATCCGATCTTATTTATTCCTGATACGAGTTTTTCATAAATGCACCTCAACGGAAACTTTATTATGTATTTCTAAGAAAAATTTTTTATCTTCTCCACTTGTAGCCACCCAAAATTAAATAAAGATTTATTAAGATGCATAGATTCTTTTGTGTTTCCTATCCCACCTACATTAGCGATATACCTAGGGCCCTGACAAATTGCGGTATGGCCGCCATCCCAAGCCGAGAGACTTCCATCGGGGTTACGAAGCTCCTTCGGAAGCAACTCAGCCGCAGGCGAGCCTCTGCCTCACATTCACACAATAAGTACTCCACTGTTTCGTGTTACTCCACCGGACTATCGAGAGCCAATGTCATGTGAGTACGCCCATTAGTAGCCTCAAATAGGGACGACCAAGTGCGACAAGCTTTCGTTCCCCCGGCCCAACGAAAAAAGCGGCTGCTCCCCTTTAGGCACGATTGTCAGCTCCCTTATTCTCTTACTGACCCGCATATCAAAGTTACCTTGTTCTAACTAGCCAGGATGCCAAGGGCATTAACCCATTTCTTTAGCACTTTGGACATAATAAAGATCTGCTCCTCCTGATGTTTCTTCTGTTACACTTCAGAGCACACAATTCAATAGCATAAATCTCAGCCTGAAGTATTTGTGGACAGTGCCCGAGGACTCTTGTGAGATTTACGTCCTCGCCGTACATACCTACGCCCACCACTTCATTGATTTTAAGCGGTCAGTGTGTGTCTAGTCCTGGATAGTTCAGGGTCTCCTGCGTTTAGTCCTTTACAACGTCATCACGCTTGCCTTTTACAACAACGACTAAATCATCAGCGTAGCCTTGTAAAATGTACACGCTATTGGACAGCTTGTACAGCAGACCATCCATTACCATGCACCAAAGCAGAGGAGAAAAGAGCCACCCATGGCCCGAATGGTAATGTCGGCGGTTCCCACATTAGCATTAATGATTCGGAATTGCGACATGGCCCCTATTCACCCTAGTAGGTACTTCAATCCTCTTATCGCACCCGCCCCTATCGATCCAACAGAAGAATTGTCAACGGCCCCTTTCATATCGAGGAAGCCCCCAAAGGCCACCTGTTTGGCTTTCAACGGCTTGTCTATTTCCTTAGTAAGTTATTGGTCGATATGACTCTGGGTGATATCATTGCGATTGGCCTTTAGTGTGAGTACCACCCTTACCTTACACCAATTTTGTCGAATATGACCGTAGCAAGCCCTAAATATTTGTGTTAAAAACGGCTATCTTTCAACATGGCAGGATAAATTCCATCCCCACCTGGAGACTTGTAGGGCTCGAAAGATCGCGTACAGCCCACCTAACTCCTGAATGTCTACATAAAAAGTCCGCCGCGTCTTTATCTTAGACCGACGACTTTCTTTATTGTATGAACTCTATGATAGCTCTCCCATTCAGACGTCTTTTGGTCTCCTTGAAAACTCCTTTTCAATTCAGCCAGCTTCCATTCTACCAAAGCACATATTTATTTTTAATATAAATAATCATACCCTATCATGAATTTTGTTCGGAGATCTGGAATTCGGAATTTCATATTGTCAATTTTGAATTACTAAAATTATGCTCCCAATATTAGTAATAGAGTAATTTTAAATTTCGTTCGTAATCAATATAACCCTCAAAAGAAAGAAAAAATCACAAGCAATTCAGACAGAGTGGTTGTTTTAAATTTTCAAGTTTTAAATATTTTGCATTGACAGTTGAAATAAAATACTGATTTTGAAACTCCGAAAAATAGTGCTGCCATTGCTAATTGATAATCTTTACAAAAGGAATGTGTTATCATTCAAAAGTTCTCTTCGTAGCTAAGTCCGTAATTCGTACAACTTTACGAGTGAAATTCATGATAAAACTGATAATAAATACTTATAAATAAAAAATAATAATTATAATATAGTATTTATAATTTATTATTATAAATACTTAATTTTAACTTGTAAAATAAACTTATTTAAAGAGAAAATATATTAATAAGTTTTCTTTAAATTTAACTTTTTTTTACAGATAAAGAAATATTTTATAATATTTTGTAGTTTAAGAAAAAAAAATGGCCTTAATTAGTTTAGTTGTGTATATGTATGGTGAAAGCTATCTGAAATGCAGCAAATATTATATCAAAAAGCTTTATCATATATTTTTTTGTTAAAAGCACCATCTATCAAAAAGAAGGATTTACTCAATGAGAATTATAATGAAACAGTCAACTTCAGAAGTACATTTCTATTAACAATAAAATAAGTTTGTGGCTGCGCAACTAGCGGTTATATGAAACACTAATAAGTGTACATTCATTTTTGTTTCCATATTGTGCTAAACAAAAATATATGGAGTAAGTTAAATTTATCCAAAAGAAAACTTCTCGGTCTGCATTCCTGAAAACACTTGATTGTTGTTATAAGATTAAAAAATTCTAATCCTCAACATTTTATAGCATATGAACATCTTATATGTATTTAAATTGTATAAGCTATGTACACTTTTTAGTTTCGCAGATTCTTGCAAGTAGTACAGAAAATTGTAAATACGTGCCGGCACAAAGTTATTTATCGTTTTTGTACTTCACCACAAGATAGCACTCAGTCACTGCTTTTAGGTTTATCTAATGCCATTATGACATTTTATTGACATTGTGATGTTTTGACGTCAGAAATTGAAGAAGATACAATTTGTTATATGTTTACATGGAATGACGAGAAAATCAAGTATTCGTGGCCAAATTCAAATAAAATTTTGTTTTTACTTAAAATATCTTATAAAAAGGTAATGTCTGACTACAATTTGCCAAGTATTGATGTAGACAAACTTTTTGAGCAACATAATGTTGTTGAAATAGATCAAATACAAAAAGTTCTGCAAAGAGAAATTGATGAAAAGAAAGAGGAAATTCGGGTAATGGTTGGGTAAGTTTGAAGTTTTATTTTATATTTTTTTAAATTAATTAAATTTCGTTTCTGTGTAGAGAAAGGTATAGAGATTTACTACAGGCGGCTGATACAATAACAGACATGCAAACTTCTTCTGGATTGTTATTAGACCAAATAAAAATGGTATCAAATAATTGCCAAAGGCTTAACGAAACACAATTATTTGGTTTTAAAACTGATAGTCAACTGGATAAAACGATTGAAAAAAATATGGAATTATATTTTAATACCAATATTCGGATAAGATTATTAACATTATTACCAGATTTATTATGGTCAAGAATTGATACAAACGAATATTTTGTAGCAGCACAAATTCATATCTTATCACAACATATTATTTCAAGTTTGAAACTAGAATCTAATAATCCGTTTTTAGCTTATTTCCCCGTGAAAAATAAAATATTTAATCTAGTTGACATGGCAAGTGAATCGCTGCGTGAATCTGTTGTTAAACGCCTAGAAAAGGACTCTTTAGATGCAGAAGATGCAAGTGATTGTATTTTATCTTTATACATATTAGATAAAACAAATTTAGATAAACTGTTATCAGCGTTCTTAGAGCGCCGAGTCGTAGCTTACAAAAGAAGCTTATGTGAGCAAGATGTAGAGAGAAGAGTTAAGGACCGCATATTATCGAGCTTAAAAGTATTAGTATCTACTGTAAAGTTAGCCAACAGCTGCTTTTTCTCAAACGAAACCAGAAAGAGCTTAATATTTGAGAAATTAACTGAATATAGACAATTTGATAAAAAACCTACACTTTCATATATTGATTACGATAGAAATGATTGGATGCCATTTTTACCTGCTAGTATACGTAATTTTAGGTGATTATTTTTTATTAAATAACATTATTTTGAAATATAAGTTTTACTATATTTTAGACCATCTATTGAAGATCCAGCTCTAGAAAATATTGTTGTAGAACAATGCTGTTCCGCATGGCTCAAACATATATCAGATATTTCCTCAACAGATTTGCGCAATTTGATTGAGTTAATAACTTCAATGAAAGTGATTCAAGAAATTAAAAAAGAGGTATTAAATTTTGAAAAGGATCCTCAATGGCCTAATAAATGCCAGTTATTTAAAATAACACCAACAATTGACTTTTATAAAGACTTGTATGTTCCACTAATTAATGAACGAGTTATGAATATCATCACTCATTCATGGGCAAAGTGCATAGATGACGTATTTGAGAAAGTTCAATCTGCCATTGAAGAACCTCAATTTGTAACAGAATATGAATATTTGTGGGCAGAAGATGAAAATGATTTACCGTCAAGTTTAAACCATGCCTTAAATCAAGATAGAAAAGACAATAGATTATTGATGAAAATGAAGGGATATAATGAAAATATTGTTTCCATTTGCAAATATTTCGACTCAAAAGTGCAGATAATATTTTCCGAAACAAATGGTTTATTAGAAGGCAATAATAAGAAGAATGACATTGATGCTTCTTTAGTCGAATTTTTAAAAAATGTAACACAAAGTCAAATAAATAATCTAATTACGAAACTTAAAACCTTAATTATCGAGAAGGACGTTGCTAGCATAGTTTTTGTTGCAAAATTATTAGTAGCTTTAACAGAGCTCTGCCCTTATTTAAAAGCCTGCTTAACATTTTCACAAGGGTATGCTAATTTATCTAAGGAATGGTCATCGCACATTGGAGACAAAAAAAATTTGGAAAAATGGGTCACTATATGCAATCTTATACAAGAAGAGTCTTTCTCAATGTGGAAAAAATTTTGTGATTTATTATTTATCGAATTTTTAGAAAAAAATCGTTTAAATGAAAATTTAAGCTATAGGACTATATTAGAAGACTTTGTGGCAAGTATTTTCGCTAGAATATTCATTATAGTTTTATTTCATTAAAATTATTTTGTAGAATTGGGAAACTATAGTTATAGAAGAAAAAGATGAACAGGAAAAATCAGTAACATCTTCAATACGTATACCATCGCAACCCAGAATAACAGTTCATAAATTCTTATTTGAATTAACGAAAACCTTAAATTCCATAGTACCACAGACTTTACCGTTGAATGTTTTACGTTATCTTATTTCCAAATTACTTTCCCATTTCATAGAGCATTTTAATAAATTAATTAATTCTAAATTTGCATCAAATAATCAAAATATGGCTTTACAATTATTTTTCGATTTAAAATTCTTACAAACAGTCTTTACAATACGCGAAGATAAAAAATTATCAGATGAATTTCAAAAATTAACAAACATATTAAAAAGCTACATTGATCCATTTGATTTTGAATTATTTCATTCATATTTAAGTGCAAATGTTAAAAAGTGCATATTTAGAATGCAACACCAATTAGGGATTTTATTACCATACCCCGAAAGTTTAAATGTTCTCACTTCTGATTTAAAAGGCTCGGCAAATTTAATAGAAAAGGATCCTAATGTATTAACATTAAGTTCCAGTGCCGCAACTGCTACTTGGTTTCCACTATTACCTGTTGTTACAGAAAATAAAGTAGAACCTACAATGGATGTTGAAAAGGTTTGCTTAATTTCCTTTTTTTTTAATATTAAGTTATAAAACTGATGTAAAATCCGATAAAATAAGATTTTAGACTGCTATCACGAGTTGAAATTAATGCGTTTTGCTTAAAAATTAAATAATTTGGGTTTTTTATTTAAAACATTTTATTTCAATTGAATTATTGACCAAGTATTGAATTAGTAGTTTTAAAGTTTAAAACTTCTTCTGTCGGATTTCTTATATTGTATTTTACGTACTTTTATTATATCTCTTTCTTTTAGGATATTTCATTCTCTCAAAGTAAAATTTATATAAGTATATTATATTTTATGATTTTTTGTGTGCTTTTGAATGATATTTTTTATTACATTAGTTTAGAGAAATTGCAAATCATATTATAAGCTTTTACTTAGAAAAATTTCTGTGAATTTTGTTTGTAAATTTTTTTATGATATCTATTTTTTATTTTTACCGAACTAATAATTTCAATTTAAAGTGATGTTAATCCTCCAATATTGGTTTTGTAATAACATGTATTTAAAATACTATGATTTATTTTATGAATTTTGAATTAGATTTAATTTTAACTTTGAGTTTTTGATTGCTTCCATAATATTATTAACCTAAAAAAAAAAAACATTTAAAACAATAAATTTTTAGGTTCCTGAAACAAAATTTCAAGCAATATCTGAAGTGGATGAAACAAAACAAGCTGCTCAAAATTATACTATTAACGTAAAATCAGGAGCAGCAGCCTTTTTTGGTGCTATGTCGCAGGATTGGTTTCGATGATATGACAGAAATTGTGATTCCAGTTTATTAAAAATTTTAATTGTTATAAAGTTACTTTTGTATTAACCATTTCTAAACAAAAAGAAGTAAAAAATGATGCAAATAAATATAAATAATTTATATAGTTTATGTGGTTTTTTTATAATTAAGTAAATAGAATATGAATACATATAATTTATATGTATTAAACATTTTCAATTTTAAAATAACATATTAAAATAATGAAAACATTAGTAAAGTAATATTTCTGCTACTTTCTTTTTTGTTTCTATTTATACCTTCTATATTAAATGTAAATAAATGGAGAATAAGAGTAATATATATTTCTGAATATACAAAATTACCTTCTTCGCGTGGGTACATTGTATCTCTTTAATTTTTTAAGATATAAATGAAACATTTAATAAAAGTTTCTAAAATAACATATGAAAACGAATGCATAGTGTGGGCTATGTTATTCAGAATGAAAATTAACATTCGTTTTATTTTAACTTCAATCCCAAATTGATAAATCAAATTAGTTTGTTTTTTTTAATCAGATAATTTAAATGATTTCAATTTTACATAAATAAATATTTTCCTAATCATATTCATTAAATTATTTTTCGTTTCTAGCAAATTAATTAGCATTTCCTGTTGATAACTTCCTTAAAATTGATTTTCAAAATTTTTAACAATTTATTTATATTTTAAAATTAGTTCCATATTTATTTATCTATTCATAATATTGTAAATTTTTATAAATATTATAAAGAAAATAAATTATCACAATCGGTATTCGCAACTCTGAGTATAATCATAACTTTTGACCTATTTCTTGCCACCTATACAAAAAATTAAGCGTTTTAGTGGATTCAACTTTAATTTTCTTATTGCAAGTACATATTACCTTTTTTACCTCCTCCACCTCCGCCCCCTTTGTTTTCATTTTTCGCTCCACCTTTTGACTTATCACCTTGATTTGGATTTTTACTTTCATTTTTGCCACCACCTTTTTTCTATAAAAAGAGATTAAATTACTTATAATCTGTATTATTTTTAAGAAACATCGTAACTGCATTTAGTTTAATTTTGTATAGTTAACCTTAATACTTGTTTAAAATACTTAATACATATTTAAAATATCTACTTATATTGAAAATTAGGATTATTGACTAAGAAATAAACAAGAGTATTGACTAAGAAACTCTATTGACTAAGAAATAAACAAAATTGTTAATCATTATTATTATTATTTTGGATAAAACTAACGTGGCATAAAAATTCATATATGAAACTGAAAATGTAACAAATGTACATACATACTTATGGAAAAATAACTTTAAATAGGTATAAATAATATTGCTGATATCAACTATTGAAAAAATTAAAATTTTTTTGGATTAATTGAAAAATTAGGTTAATCCTTACTTAATTGGATAAAATTTTCAACCAGCTTTTCCATTTTATCGTACAAGTAGTATGTTACATAAAAAATTAATTTCATAAAATTTTATGATAATAAAATTTTAACACTTAATTTTCAAATTTATTTAACATTCGACTTAGAATGTAATATTTTTTATCAAAACAATATTTAATGAAGAATACATGTTGTTAATAGTTATGTATAAAATATATATAGCATATATGTATGTATAACAAATATCGTTTTATTAAAAAATTATTCAACAAATAAGGGTGTTAATTGCCAGTTAGAAATATTTCAGTTATTATTGAACTTTATGGAACAGAAAGTGAAATTTATAATAATGATAATATTTTTTATATAACATGCTGATGCAGATTCATGTGTATAAATATTTACATAATTGTAAGAATTGTAAAAAAACTCTCAAATGAAGCAAGAAGTAAAAGTAATATTAAATTAAGAAATGTGTGAATATTAAAAGAATGGGATTATTTTGAAGCTGACCTGTTAAAATTAGCCAAGAATAAAGAACTCTGGTTAAAGTTTCTACCAGTTTATTTTGTTTGGCACACACTCACTCATTTGATATTAATTAATTTTAACTATTTGAATACGCAATACATGCACTAACGCATAGAAATTGAGAGTTATGCAATGAATAAATTAATTTTATTTTTATTTATTTTCTTACATTTCCACCGCCACCGCCAGCTCCACCTCCTCCTCCGCCACCTCCTCCTCCACCACCACCTTTGCCTTTAGCCATTTATTTTAGAACTCTTACTTTAAAACTTTCAATTGCCTCAAATTTAATTTTGCACAATTTTTAACTAAATACTTATGTAGGTTTTTCGCGATTTTATTCTTATAAAAAAGAAGAAATTAAAAAATTCTTTTATAATTGCACCAATTTGACTTCACCGTAAAAAAAAATATACTAATTAAATTACGTCGACAGGTACAGAACATAAAAATAATTTTCTTTTTTCAATATTTCAATTTATGCATTTATATGTATGTATACATATGTATGTCTGTAAGTACATATAGAAACGAAACAGTGTATAATAATATAATATGTCTACACGAGTAATTTTTTTTTAAAATGGGCACTAATACAGTTTCCTGTTTTACGTCGTCATCAATGAATTGGCAGTGATTTTCTATTCAATAGTCATTGCCCACCACTTTTATTTCCCTCTAAAATTCTCTTCATTCCTTCTTATTATTAGATAAACGTTATTATAATTTTATAAATTAGTTAGTGATACTAAAAAATTATAGCAGGAAAATTTACACGATATAAACTTGACAAAATTGGCTATTAGCACTATTACTATTAGCGCAAAAGTCAAAATGAATTAAATTGCAAAAGTGCCAGTAACACGTACTTATATTAATACTTACTAAGAAGCTAAGCCTGTATGCTCATACATAATTTAAGTGATTAACAGTCATTCGAATGAGTATCCCAGAGTAGCCTGAACTAATTTTTATATTTTCGTTTTCACAAATTTTCTATTTATTTAGAAAAAACAAAATTGTGTATTATTATTTTTATATCAATTTGTTGTGGTACGAGTATGTACCTAAGGGTGTGTAGGTACTTATACATATACATTATATATACAATATTTTTTATGTTTATAATATTTGTCTGCTAAATTTTATACAATATATGACCAAACTGATGTACTTAGTTGTTAATTTTACAATATTCACCAAATTGTAAAGTATATAAGTAATTTTGTAATGTACCTTACAAAAACCACATGATGATTAAAACTATATTATCTAATAAGTTGATATAGAATTTAGCAATAGTTAATTTTTATCACACCTTAAACCAGTGCATAACATTAAGCATGATAACTAACAATTTACTTATTGAACTTATTAAAATCGTTTTAATAAATATAAATAAACAACATTTGTGTATACAATGTGTGTGCATAATATTTATAAATGAGTGTTGCATATTTATCTAAATAAAAAACAAGAAAACAGAACTAAATATATTTTTATACACAGTGTAAAATTTTTGAGATTAATCAGGATTTAATGCTCTTACCCTTGTCTTTTATTATGCGTTTCATGTACTTGAAAGAGTTCGCCAATTTTATTTTAAAAAATTTCTTGGCATTAAATTAAAAACACATAATACTTATTTTTTATTTTATAAATGTATGTTTATATTTTAATTATTTGTTTCATAGAAAAGTTATATATAGAACGAACAGACTTAGCGAGAAATATTTTTTTTACTTAATGCATATTAAATGTTTTCATGCTCATATAGATATCCATATAATTTTAATAAATATTCAAAACTTTTAATTTCTAACTAGTCAATTAGGAATTGTATATAAGATAATAAATCGGTTTCGCTGGCAATTAAATTTAGCATTGTACTTTCATGTTGCAGACTTCCTATTATTATAAACAACTCAAGTTTTCGCAATAAAGTTTTTCAAACTTTATTATGAACTCATACTCAAACTTTATTCTGCACAATGTTATTGTAAATTTTATAAGGAGTCGTCGGCTATACTATTTACCTTCAACTTAGGCAAGTAATAATTTAATATCGAAAAATCTGAGATATTTTTAATAATGTCAGCTTCATTCTCTCTACATTTTTTTTAATCCTATAAGTTGACTTATATATTACAAAATGTAATAGAAATACATGATGTCTGATGAAAATTTTCAAAAGATATAAAAAATGTACATATGTGAGTAAGCAGGTCATCATTGAAATATTTTGATGTTGAGGAAATGAGAAATTTAAGATTTTCACTATATTTACACAAGCTCTTAATTATTAATGTGAACGAGTTTTACATATGTATGTATTTATGTACAAATAAAATTTATACTTTTATAAATAATTAAATTTATTTTATTAAACGTAACTCGTAAAAGAAGTGCCTACTTAAAAAGAATATATAAAGCTAAAATTTTGTTTTGCAAATTATCACAAATTAGAACATAAGGAATTCCAAAGTATTAAAAACAGTTTTTGAAATGGAGGAAAATCTGAAATGAATAAGAAAAAAACTTAAACGTTTCAAAATTCAGTATTTAATTTTGGCACTTAAATGTTAAAATAAAATGAAAATAAAAGAATTTTTACATTAATAGCAATTGCATAATTCCACTGTGTATTTTGGAAGTTGTAATATGCGTCTCATTTTATTAAAATCGCGAGTGAAATTGATTAGTAGAGATATTTTCGTTGTTAGGTTAATAGTTACTGCTGACATGAAGGAACTAACACAGATCACAATTCGACGCTGAATTAGAATTTTATACATGCAAATTTCTATATGGATACATACATAGATATGTTTGAATTTAGCACTGCAAGATTTTGAAAAAAAAATTATTTTTCCAGTTCAAATTTGTTAATGTTATTGTAAATATGGATCTAAATACATAATGAAAACTCACTAATATTCTTCTTCACAGATCGAAATTGCTTTAGTATGAGTTCTAATGCTAAAAATCTTATGATATTTTATATAAACAAATTTAGTAGCATTATTTTATTATAGCCATAAAATACTTATAAAATAAAGCTTCTAAAAATGATTTATAGTAAAATTTTTTATTAAAATATTTTACATATCTATATACACTCCAACTTAATCTTTGCTATTTGATCTCTTTAACTAAAATGCTAATATATTATGCAAATACGTACATACATGTATTTAATATACAATAATAAGCAAATATTAATGCCTATGTATCGTATATTGATATAATGTCATATTTTGTTCAAAATGTTTCTCTAATCATATAATGACCCTTATTTTACTGAATATTTTAATAAAATTTTAAATATTTGGCATAATAACATTATCAAATAATAACGAATATAACCATATGAATGAAAAAATTTCGTGTACGTACGTGAATATTGTATACTCTATTATACTCGTATATTATACAAACGTAAATTTAATGTATATCCATTCATATAATACACAGTTACACCTGGACAAGAAGAATTCAAAACAATCGAGAACTTACAGATAGAAATGATAAAAACTTAAGCATTAAACGTAACTTTAGAACCCTCGTGCTCATATATTCACGAATATAAAAGTAAAAACAAAATATTTTCTAGAAATATTTGTAAATTTCTAGAAAACACTTGCACTCAATTTGGTAACAATCATAAAATGGTATACTGTGAAAGAAAATGCATTCAAAATCTTGCAAATATCAATGATTATTCTTAGAATTCTGATTCAGCTAGTATTTATTCAGGTTCAACTGTATATTACACATGCATGTATTATATAATTTTATAAGCCTTTTTAAAAATCATATGAAACATATTTTTAAAGTTATTTCTTTAACTATAATATCGCATAGTATTTTATTGTACAAATGAGCCAATAAGTATATAAACACATTTGAGTCAGTCATCCAAAAACGTAAGTAACATCCGGTTTAAGGGATTCATTTGATTTTTACTTTTACTTTTTTACTGTAAATCACGAACGCTTTTTTCCCCTAAAAAATCGTTTTCAAATCAACATATGTGACAGAGTTACACAACTTTTTTGTCAGATTTTTTTTTTCAATAAAGTTTATGTCACAATAAAGAACCTATTTTTTATTTTACGAGCCTTATTACCATAACTTGAAATTAGTTTTTATATTTCGGGTATATGTATATATTTTATGGAGTAAGCTGAAATAAATGAAAAGTTTATGAAAACCAATTATTGTAATTGGTATTCATGATAATCGTATATTTGGGGATGTTGAGAGCAGACATGTATCACTTTTGCCTCTTGTCCTTAAATTTTCGAAAAAAGAACTAAAACTTTTTATTTTTTAATATTTCTTAAATTTTATCAATCTTAAAATGTGTATATTTTTATGTACGTTTTCATGTATGTTATTTTTTTAAATTCTAAATTATTAGGTTCTTCAGTCTATTCAGATTTTCTATATCACGAAAGATATAAAAAACATATTTTAAACAATATCATAACAAGATCAAAATTAATTTTTATTAACTTTAAAAATATGAGAAAGAAAAAAAGCAATAACTTAAAAAACATTTGCAACCGTGACTTAGCGAAAGAGTATTAAATCACTGATTTTTTGGTAACAATTTTTACAAATATTGGTATAGTATCATCCTTACACATCGGCGTATCGCAATTCCAACACGTATATGTAAAGCTTTTTTTAAGCTTATAAATTCAAAAACAGCACCGTTTTCTTTTACTCAATTTGGTGGCCTCTCTATACCGGACAGAAAAAGTTCTTTTAGTTCTGGTAGTCCCAAAAGTTTACTGATCGGAATTTTCTACTTAACAGATCGAAATTGCGAAACTTCCTTATTCTATTCTAGAGGCGTGCTAAAATTTTTGATTATAACTTTCGGTCCGGGGATGTTAAAGCACTTAATTGGAAAGTTTTGGTCTACCACGACTTTCGGGAACTTGGCCATTCCATCTAAAGTCATGTTTTCCTTCAATTCCATGACTATTCCTAGAAGTTCTTAGAAATTGATAAAATATTTTTTCCTCTATTACATAGACTGCTTCAAACTTAACTATTAGACTTAACTTTTCTCATACACTCCTAGGTTTGGATCTTCTTCACCAACTTCATCTAGAAACCTATTCACTATTTTTTCTACTTCAGCGTTAGTCAGCTACTTTTGCTCATTATAACATTAAGGACTAATTTTAATTTTAGGAAATCAAAAACAATTAGTGCTTTCGCTATTACTTGCCGAGCAAATATGTCATGTTTCAAAAAATATATTTTTTTGTAAAACGGCTCGTATATTTACTTAAATATTTTTATTTAAACATTTATTCAATAATGAAAATGTGATCATAAAATCCTTTTTTTCTTAAAAATAAAGTAAAAATTGATTTTGTTTTTATTTTCTCTATGCACATTAAAGATGATAATAATAATAATGAAGCAAA